TCGCAGCTCTGGGCACATGGCACCACAGGGAACACCCAGGAGAAGACTGTCGTCCAAAATTTGGATCAATTCCTCTCTCTGCTGGCGGCTGATGCCGTTCCATTCCTCAGGTGCTGTTGGTACCTGAGCTGCGGTCTCTTCACCGGCCATCAGCTTGTCGATCTCGGACTGGGGCAAGTAGTCCTCAATGGACGGAGGCAACTCAGCGATGAAGTCTCGCCGGATCTGCTCCACCTTGTCATCGGACCAAACCTCGTAGCCCTCGCCCAGCAGGAAAGAGATCTCAGCTGCCGTGAAGCGTTGGCAGTCAGTCACCGCTCTGGTTCGCGGTGTTGGCGGTGCCTGTGTTTCTCCCTCAGCTGTCTCCGTTGGCTCAGTTGCAGCCATGAGACCATGGACTTCTCGGCGTCCAGCACGCTTGCCCAGGGTATACACAAACACCAAGGCAAATGCCAGGAAAAAGAAAAACCCGATGATCTTGTCAACGCTGAGGAAGATCACAAACCCAAACTCAAGAGCGGCCACGGGCACGATCTCATTCGCCAGAGTCATGCACCAGATCACTCCAGCGCTCTTGTTCGAGCTTGCTTGGCTCTGCTTGTGCTTTGCGGCGTGGTAGTGACGCTTCGAGCAGAAACGCTTGCCATCTTCTGCAGGCAAACCACAGCCGTCCAAGAGGCAGATGTTGCACTCCATCTTTTCTTCTGACTCCATCTCTTCGATCTTGTAGATGCCATCCTTCACCATTTGTTGTTTTTGAAACTCCTGAGCAGCTTGATCAAGTGAATCTTGTTCGTCCTGGCGAACGTTCTGCTTGACCTTCTTTGAAGCTGTTCCCTCAGGATCATATCTCAGACAGTGCATGCGGCGTCGAAGCTCCATTGCAAGCTTTTGCCGTGCTGACACCTTTGTGACCCCATCAGCCAACTGCTGATGACTGTTGCACCACTTGAGCACTCCTCCAGCTGCAGCCATGCGCTCGCATGCCATCTTGATCTCGATTGCAGTTCTTTTCTCAGCAAGTTTCATCCCAGGGGCCTTGCTGTTGCTGGCATCAAAGAGAGCTCTGGCATCAGTGATGCAAGGTGAGTCGCACAACCAGCGCATCATCTCTTCATTGTCTGGTCGAAGAGCTGGCCAGATCATCAGGGCAAACACCGTTTTGGTCCACTCCAGGCTGTCGATTGCAGCTGCCAAAGTTTGAGCTTCTGCACTGAGCGAGCTTCGGCACACTCGGGTCAGCTTCCGTGAAGACCAGTCGATCACGGTGAGGGGAAAAGGCTTGCTGCCACCGATCTCCGCCTCAGTCGCGACGAAGGTGATCCAGCCACCTTGTGAACTCCCGTCTGGTCTTGTGCACCAGGACGCGTCACTGTAGATCCCAAACCGGATCTCTCCCAAACGTCCGTGACCTCTGAGGACCAAGTGCACGTCTGAGCTTTCTTTGGCATACCTCAACGTTTTGTTCACTTCCAGCAACTCAGAAATGGTTGCATTGGCGGAAGCGGCCTGAGCCAGGGACACAGACGCAGCAAGGTGGGGTTGCGTTTGGTTGGCGGGCCAGGCTAGCCCACCCAGCAAACCTCTCAACTGGCTCTGCTCTTTCGGAGTGGCCTTTTCGTTGGGTTGTGCTTTTCTGGCCTTCTCGATGTTGAGGGGCTTGAGCTGGTGGATGTACTTCTGCAGGTCAAAAGTGACTGTGGCAGAGTCCAGGGCTTGCGTCATTTGACATCCACAAAACGTTTGCTTGTCGCCATAGTCGACGCTGCCAAACTTGAAGCGATGCAGGAGGACATGCAGTCTCTCTGCATAGCAAGTCGGCTCACCATGGGGCTCCCGTGCGTCTTCTTTGCAGCGCACGCCCTCTCCTGCAGTCAAGATGTCATCCACATGGATGCAGAAGACACCGTCCACCACATAGTTGTTGCCCTCGTGCTCGAACACCTCAAAAGGAGGGTCACCATCCACTGCCAGTCTGACTGACATGTAGATGCAGCCATCGAGCTCGTGCTTCCACAGCTTGACCTCGTGGATCAACGCACGATCGGCCGTTTCGTTCCACTGTCTGGGTGCTCTGACATCTCCGAAGGCAGGCTTCGTCATCTGCATCACCTGATGTTCTTGAAGTCCCATCATCTCAGCCAACAAGCGTCTCATGTCAGCTGAGGGCTCACCATAGATCTCCACCTCCTCGGTGATGTAGTCCGACTGCAAAAATGCAGACTTCACATCCATGGTGGCAAGCTTCCATCTCTTGACGCAAGACAGCGTCACCATCAGGTACTTGCCAAGTCTCGACACTGTGGGTGACTCGGTGTCAAGCTTGCTTTCGATGACATCCTTGTGCTTGAAGCCTTGGAGAATGACTCGAGCATGTGGCTTGTTCTCTTTGTAGCGCAAGAGAAACCTCATCGGCACGATGGTTCCAGGAGGGCAGGCTGTCCTCTTGAAGGGCCTCCAAGCATCGTTCTCGTGCCATGGGACCAGGGCCTTGCGCTTTGCCTCTGTGAAGGCTCTTTTCTCATCGGCAGACAACCGACTCTCCACGACCGCCATCATGACCTCGTCCTCAGGGACCTCCACCATGCGCACTTCCTCAGTGCGAGGTTGCTTGGTTTTCGGTTGACCATCGTCAGCTCGGGGAGGCACCAGATTTGCAGCAGGTCGTGATGCTTGTGCGGCAGCATTTGCAGGCAGTTGTCGTCCGGAAGGAGGCAGTCCATCCAGTCGTCGATTGTTCTCGTGGGAGAGGAAACTGGCAGCACGTACTGCTTGTTCATAGAAACGTCTGTCACGGGCTCGAACGCTCACATCATCAGGGTTCACAGGTGGTTCATCATCTTGCCTGTCGATCACCCCATGCGAGGAGTCCATGATGCCCGGATGTTCTTCTTCCAGCTTCCGTTTCATCTCCTTCTGGATGTCGGTCATGCCTTGAGTGTGGTCATCCAGGTTCTTGTCCTTGTTGGCCACCATCTCATCCAAGAGAGTCTTGTCAGTGGTCTTGGATTCAGATTCGGTTTTCTCACTGTCGGGGTAGTCGACCCAAAAGTCGATTCGGGGTTCAGGCAGCTTGGCCTTCGGCCGAGCTTTGGACTTGTCGGCAGGTTTGCCGGGAGTGTCAAGTTCTGCAGTTGCAGTTTTCGATTTGGATTTGTCATCAGTTTTCGGTGGGTCAGGAGGTTCAGGTGGTTCATGTGGAGGGGCATCACCAGGTGCGACAGCGGCTGCTCCAGTCCCCCCAAGCTGAGGAAAATCGTCAGGAGATTGAGCCTTGCCAGCAATGTCAATGGCCCTCACTGGACCACGCACTGGCTTGAGAGCTTCCAAAAGTCGTTGTTGCAAAGGTTTCTGCACGCTCTCAAGGTAGGCAGGCTTGCTCTGACGCTCGTAGCGCTCAGGGACAGTCTCAAAGCGTAGCTGCTGTCGTGTTGCTCGCACCAGTGAGCTTCCATGGACGATCCAGTAGATCATGGTCTTTCGGTCAATTGAGGCTTCCACGGACACCACCATCGCGGGTCCACGCCACCGGAAAGGGTCGAGCTTGTGGGTTTGTGGCTTCCAGTAGTAGACATAGTCTCCCACCATGAGCTCGTCCTCATCCACTCGTGATCGAGCCAAGGCGGCTGATCGAACCGCCAAGTCAAAGTTGGCAGAGTGGAAGGCCTGTGCAGCCTTCTGTTTGACCTCCATGACCTGCGCCAAGTCAGCAGAGTCACCAAATTGTTCGGGTCCAGGGTCATCAGCGTTGCCTCCTTCGGAGGGAACGTAGCCAAATGCCAAAGTGGCAGGCGTAGCACCTTTCACCGAAGACAAACGGTTTCTCTGATGGCAGGTCACCAAGATGGCTTGTTCAAAGTCCAGCTCGGGCATGTCTTTGTGGAAGATCTCCAGCATGCGTCGTCGGACTGCATGATTCCGTTCAAGGATTCCAAGCCTGTGATGAGCACCTCGTGGGATCAGGTCCATGTACATTCCATGGGCAGATGCCCAATCGGCAAATTGTTGCCCTTGATGAGGACCAGAGGCATCCAGTCGCAAAACCTTTGGGAACCCAAAAGATCGGCTCCAAGTTGACTCGAAGAGAGCTATCTCCATGTCAGCCGTCTCTTCTTTGATCTCCATGTCAACTTCATAGCGACTGAACTCATCCATGATGGTGAAGACCGCACGCTGTTTGCCATCCCATTCCACATAGAAGGTGTCGATGGCCACGGAGTGATTGAAGTGTGGGGATTTGTGCAAAGTCGCCACACGCACATTCTTGGGTTGTGCCCTGGCCAAACAGGTCGGACACTTGTACCTCCGGGCCACCTGGACAAATTCATTGGGAAGGTGTCGTGCCTTCACCGCCAGAACCAGCTTGGCTCCATTTGGATGTCCAAGTTGTCGATGGAGATTGGCCACCGACTTCAGGATCTCATGGCCACCGATCTTGATGAGCTCCTTGTTCTGCTCAAGGTACTGCATCTCTTCAGTCGATTTCTCGACGACCTCCATGGTCATCAATTCAGCTTGTCCCCGTTTCTTCCATGCCATCTCCATTGCAGAGTAAATGGCATTGCCAAGACGTTGGCAAAGTTCAGGCTCGTAGTTCTGCATCTTCTTGAGGACAGAGCCGCGTCCCATCATTTGGACATGAGCTCCTCGGGGGCATTCACAACGCAAGTTCACAGCCTCGCAGACCTTTCTTGAGCTTGATCGAAACCTTGTGGGCTTTCTCACATACATCTCGTCCTCAGGACTTGCCTTCAGCCTTGTGCGGCAGCGATCCAGGACTGTTTCAAAGTAGCCCTTCATGGAGTCCAAAGTTGGGGTTTCGAATGAAGCTGCGTCTGCAGGGTTCTCAAAAGTTGTGTCATAGACCAGGCGCTTGCCGTCGATGTGGATGTCCTTGTAAAAGGTCAAGTGGGTCTCTTCTTCCAAGACCCTCAGATCTCTGAGCAATTCCCGTCTCTCTGGTGTTCTGTAGTTCAAATTCTGCATTGGTGACCAGAGACGACATTCAGGAGTCACCATGATGTGATGAGGTTCTTCTTGCTCAACAAGACGTCGAAAAGCGGCTTGTTGCTCTTTCATCTCAAAGTTCCAAGTTGGCAGAGAAAACTGCCGGACCTCCACATCATGATATGCTCGTTGCAGGTACTTGCTCAGGTTCCCTTCATCCACATAGACTTCCCAAAACTTGAGCTTGCGCTCGTGTTGTTGGCTTTTCATGCTTGCAGCGAAGACAAACTCCTCCGCTTCTTTTTCTGACACCTCAACGTCAAGGTCGGCCTCAAAGTCAGAGACCTCATCGGTGATCATTGAATCCACGAAGGTCTCCACAGAAACGTCGATGTTGTCCAGCTCTGCAAAGCTCAAGACGTCCTCAAGGTCGTCAAAGATGTTGATCATGTAGTGCCCGTTGGTTGTGAACGCTGGCTTCACCTGCACATCACCGATCATCACAGTTTTTCTTCCATAGTCCACCACCGTCTGCCAAGATTCCAGATCTGGTCGTGCCAAAAGCAAAGGTGTGTGTCCTGGAAGGACGTGCACAATGAGTTGTCGCCAGGTCTTGCCAACGCAGACAGGGATCATCGCTCTGAAAAGCGACCTCACCATGGCACCATCTCCAAACCTGAAATCCTTTGTTTCCTTGTCGATGTCAGGCTCCATGTTCCTCAAGCTGAGGTAATCCAAGATCTTGTTCCAGCTGGCCTCACCACAAACTGTGCGAGTGGCTCCACTGTCCATGATAGCCCAACCAACAGCTTGGCTGACAAAGTTGATGCTCTCATGGGTGGTGTAGTCAACAGGGATCTGATTCACCTCGCTGACGAAGTTGTCCTCCACCATGGTGACTTCATCAGGGACTTCCTTGATGCCATTGGCTGGAAGCCTGTAGCGCTTGAATCTTGGGCCATGCTGAGACGTGCTTCCACCGGTTGTGGACTTTGCAGATGCCGTTGTCGAAGCAGTCGATGTAGATTCACCTGCACGCCGACGTCCAAAAACGTATCGTCGTGCACCAGGCAAAGGGTGTCCTTTTCCGGCAGATTTGCCTTTTCCTCCGCTGCTCTTTCCACGGCCTTTTCCTTTTGACTTGCCCTTTCCACCAGAGGCTTTTCCACGCCCCTTGAACGCACCACCATTGTCATCCATGCCGATGGCAACCACAGGGTAAAAACCTCGGCTGAGAGCGAGTTCCCGCATTTTCTTTCTAGAGTCCAAGTAGTTGATGAATGCATCCTCCACTGCAAGTGAGGCTTCATCAAGCTCCTGCGGGATGTCCTCGTCAGCTTCACCTGTGTATTCCACCTCATCAATGGCGTCGTCATAGTCAGGGTCATAGCCATAGGTGTAGGCGTCATCATCCTGGTAGTAGACATCGTCAAAGCCATAGTCCTCAAGGTCATCATACTCGGCATCCATATAGTGAATCTCACCTTTGAGGATGGAGTCCTTGGCGTTCGGCTTGCTGTCACCGCCAAACATTCGGATCAAAGCTTTGGAGACTCGGTCAACTGACATGTCTCCGTTGCACATCGCTTTGACCTGGACGTGGGTCCACCGCGGCACTCCAGACCTTTGCAGCAGATGCCAACCAGCAAGAAGGGGTGGTATGTCCACCTGGAGCTCTTTCAGCTTTCGAAGCATCGACTGATGCCTCACCAAGTAGGCTTGTAGTTCTTCACCTCGTTCTCGGGCAAACTTCTCAAAGAACTCTTGGCATCGCTCAGGGAGTTCTACTTCTTCTTCATGTTGAAAAAGTTTGTCCAAAACGACCAGCAAGGGTTTGAAGGGATCATCACTCAGCTCCATGTCATCGTAGTCCAATCCCTCTGTGGCTTCCCATGCTACGTCTTGTAGTTGTGAAAGAACTAGATAAGCTCCTTCAAGAGCTACTCCTTGACCTCGTCTTCTACATTGTCGGCTGAACAGGTCAAGTCTCCGTCTGAAAGACCTGTATGTGGACTGTGTCAGTCCAGCAGCAGATGGTGCTGCTTTGGCCAAACCTGAGTCCAAACCACGAGTGAACTCGTTTTGACCACCTTGTGCTCCATTTGCTGTCGCTCCACCATTCTGAGGGCCAGTCGTAGCACCAGCAGGTCCACCTGGTACTGCGGCTCCTCCAGAGTTGTTGGCACCGTCTGATGCTTGTCCACCCACCATCGTTGCCACCGAAGTCCAAGGCAAGGGTGATGAACAAGTTCAGGCCGAAGTACCTGCGGCAGCCCAGATTGGGCTCCGCTACCAATATCGATCTGGTAGTAGGGGTACACAAGGAGGTTCCCGTCCCAGATCTCCCAAGGCACACGCTAAGTTGCAGTTGGGTTTCAGCTTCTCCTTTTCCTTGATCTCGCCAAAGCGGTTGTACCGCCGGTAGCCTCGTAGATGCTCAAAAGGGCGCCCTGTGAGCCCGGAGCAACAGGGTGAAAAGACAGTTGCATGTGATTGCAACATGAAGAAATGAAAAACACTCATGCATGCGACAGCTGGCATCGACAATATATA